TCCCCCTAACCCCCCCCCCCCCCCAGCCCCTCCCCAAATGAGTCACTGAATCCCGTTATTAATACTGGAAATCCATCAATGCTGGTTTTGTTGGTGCTGCCCACACTGCAGATATATATTGGAGATGTTAGCATAGATTTGATTTAATTGACTCTGTCTAGATCGGTCTCGTTAAACAGAGGGGATTTCATTGGTCAGCACTCCTCCATGAAAGACAGCCCTAATGACTAGTGGTTGAAATGCTGCTGGCATTTTGAATTCAACATCTGCTGAAAACGGTAAAACTAATTAGTGGCCACCCACCCTCCCCGCCCCAGCAACTACATATTGAAAATTGTTGGAGTACTCATCTTTATGGAAATCAATCATTATCCTAAAAAAGTGTTTCGCTCTTATTATCCCAATTTTGGCTATGGCCCAGTAATTACCAAGGGAAAGCAGTGAACTATTGGAATTTAACTGACCAATGTTAGTTCTGGTCTGAAGCAGATGCCTGAGGGAATTCTAAGCAAGTCCATTTTATCAGCAGTTAGGTTACAAACCATACATATTGATGGGGGGGTCTGTATTCTACCACACATCCACTCTTGAGAAGTATGCAAAGCCAGAAGACCACAGACTCAAACCACAAGATTCCAGGCAAGCTCAGTGAAAGCCCCCGAGGAACTGGAATTAGACTTGCCAGTTAGAATTCATGTTCTAAAGGAAAACAATTTCCTAGAACAGTGATGTTCTGGAATATATATTATTTATTTTAACACCTTTAAAATAAAAATCTTTATCATAAATCATGACTATTCCCAAGGGCATTCACTTTTTATTTTTCTTAATCTTTGGTTGTGGACTATATCTCATAATGATGAGATTGAAGATGATTGTTCTCTTGCAATTTACTTATATTTATTTTCATATGAAAGCTTTTATGGGGAAAAACTGCATTTTGTTATACAATCAACAGATTTGTTCATGCTGGAAAAAAATGAGGAAGGAGATGGGCCATCTCTGCTATGACCTTAAGAAAGGAAAGAAAGAGAAAAGAAAGACAGTAATGTCTCTCATGAAAGGGTGGCATTTATTGAGAAAATGGACTGAGGCAGAGTAGGGGGTTTTAAAATTGATACATGGTCAGGAACCAGGAGTCTCTCATAGAAAGTGTGCACTGAGAAGGAAATTGCCTGTAAGTAAACAGAGTTGCTAAGGAGAAGTCAAGTTAAAGCAGTCAAGTGTCAGAATAATCCTTCGATGATTTTTTAAGTCTTTGAAACCAGACATGCTACTTTACACTCTCATTTAAGTTTCAACATCACAGGGCAATTTACATTGTTTTTCTATTGTACAGATGAAACAAGTGAGGCACAAGAACATTGCATGGTAGTTTAAATCATATATGGTAAAATGTAGAATGACATTTAATTCAATTTCCTTCTTACCTCAAAACCTCATTTTTAGGTGGAGCAATCATCATACCAACCTTCAAAGATTTTTAAAACACAAAGACAAATACTATTGCTATAAAACAGATTGGAAATAAGGTTTCAGTTTCCCAATTATAATGGTAGTGACCCTTTATATTTTTAGTACATCTATGACAAATGTATCTTTTCTCAAATTCAGTGGAGCTAAATTTGCAGTTCTCTCCCTAGAATAAAAGAAAATACATAAGGTAAAAGACGAGTGTGCCATAGGATAAATATCCACACCACTGAATCTATATTATATTTACATCGATTCCAATCTCACTAATGTTGTCAGAATCTTAATAAATAATAAAACACATGAAATACCTATAGAAAAAACATGCCCTATGATTTCATAGTATAACAAGCTATTTTTTAGAGTATGCTTTGTTCACTTTAGTGGAGTGTCTCTGCCACAATTTAGTTTACATAGATAAGTTTTTATGTATATTATATTGAGCTACATACAAGTAAGCAGGACACATAACACAGGTGTTTTCTCATGTATTTTTCATTTGGAAGTGCTAGCTATTTTCTACTTAATAAATAAGTGTTCTATTTTCTATATAACTGTATTTCCATGTTCATAGTTTAAACATTTTGTTTCTAGATAAATCATATTTTAATGCGTCTCAATGAGATAAAAAGCTTTTAATTGTGACCAAGAGGAAGGGAAAGAAAAGCAGCCAGAGTATCTTACATAGTTAAATGGCTTTAAAGAAGCTCTAAGCTGCTGTGGTTCACACTGTAGTTAAGATCATGGTAAAACTTAAGTGGTTGCCATAGAAATTTATTGTCTAATACTTTTTCATGTATATACAGGAGGAAGCTAGGATAACTGTGTTAACATGAAAACAATGCAGTTGCCTTTCCTAACAGTATTTCTTTTATGTATAAATAAAATTCCCAGATATTTTAGTATGGGCTTCAATTATATTGGTCACTCTAAAGAAAATACATTATTTTGCTCTACGGTTTTTCATAAACGTTACTTGGAATAGAGACATAGAAGATTTTTCAAGTGTGAAGGTGAAGTGTGTATTGATAAGGATTGTGGAGTGTTAACTAATGGCTTCTATTTCAACACTTCTGTTGGCTAGTTGATATATATTTTTATTTAAGGTGCTTACTTGAAGAAATTGCTAATATGCATTATGCTAACAATTTAATTTCAGATTTAGTTACAATTTGGTTTATCTTCCTTTTACTTTTTTTCAAAGAGTAATCTGCTTTATTTTTAAGGATAGATTCCATATGACACAAATGGAATTCAGGAAAAAGGTCAATAGTTTAATATACTGCTCACTCTAAATATTAGAACTAAAGAAAGAGTGCTTACAGTTCATGATACCGCCTGCTACAGTCCATGAGCTCACCTACTACAGGTCCATGATACCAAGCACTACAGGCCAAGAAATGCAGCAACATAAACAGGTGTCAACCATGTTTTGTGTTATCAAAGTTTGATTGGATTTTAGAAACAAAAATAGAGTAGTCAAGGTCAATATGTATTAAGTGTTCAAGAATTATACTTTTGAATTAGATAGACTACTGAAGAAATCATCTTGAGATTTCTTTAAATCTTTAAAGCACAGTGTAGTCTTTCCACTGCAGTAAACTGTCAATTTGAGGTTACTGGTTTACACTTGGTTAGTCTAACTATTGATTAGTCTATTAATTTCTCTCTTCCATTTAGTTTTAAAATAGACTGATTAGAGCATACTGTTGACATAGAGTTGTGTTTCAGGTTTTGTACAAAGTTTGTTGGAGAGTGACTTAAGAGTTTAAAGTGTATTTATTTGTTGTCAATATTAGCCTTGTATTTGCTTGATAAAGAATATGGTACTTCTTAGTGTCGTAAGAGATTAATTCTTAGACCTCCCAAAGATATGAACTATGCAGATCCTCAAGTCTTCCTTAAAATGATAAAGGTTTGGAATTTCATCATATTTAAATCCAATTTAAGATCCAATAAAATGTAACCACTCCATACATATTCTGTCATTATTGGCTATTTGGTAAGTCATGAAGAAACAGTCTGTGCATGTTTATTACAGAAACATTTTCTTTGATATTTTTGATGTTGGTGCTGAAATTCCAGTTTTAAGTGATCTTCCTGACTCAGACTTGCATATGGCAGTTAATAAGTGTGTGTGTGTGTGTGTGTGTGTGTGTGTGTGTGTGTGTGTTTGCCCACACTCATGTCTGAAGTGGGTGCACTTGACTGTGTGGGTCAGGTATTTTCCTCAATTGCTTCTCCAGCTTAGCATTTTGGACAGGGTCTTTCACTCTATCCAGAGCTTACCATTTCATCTGTCAGTGCTGGTTTACAGGCACATACTGGTGTTTATGTGGTTGATGATAAATCTTGTATATGCTGTCCTATGCACTTTAGCTGCTGATCGATTTCCAAAACCCAGGGAAGATAAATTTGAAAACATGTTTGAAGTTCTTTATTGGTTGGATGATCCTAGAGCTAATTGTACTGTAGGTTGTTTCTTATGAAAAAATATGAGGTCATTCTAACCTCAAGGAGTTTGTAACATATTTGGTTCTGATATATGCATCACAGGAATAAGATTATGACACATCATTGGCAGTGTGCTACTCTAGTAGACCACCTTATGTTTCTTTAGTAGTGTAGATCATTAGCCATTGCAATCCTTTTTTATCAACTGTTATTCACTAAGTTAAAATATCAAGCAATATTGTTAAATGATAGCTATTTACTGTTATCTTCATTTCCTTTTCAATATATAATGTCCACCATGATGTACATATATTCAGATTTTTCTAAATATCCATTTTAAAGAGATGTAGCTTTTTAAAAAAATCTTAAGTAAATGACAGATAACTTTTTAACTTACAGTAGTTGAGAAGTAAAGTATTATATTCTAGAGTTGAATAAGATATTATATTATTGCTTTAGAAATAATCATCATGGAACTCTTAATTAGGATTCTATAACTTCTATGTAGAAATTTATGCACAAAGTTTAATAAGATGTATATACTTTTAAACTCCTCTTAAAGCTAAACATTTTCAGTCCATAGACTATTTGATAAAACTTAATTTTCAGTTGTGTAGCAGTAGCTTGGAGTTGTTCATGTCCAATGGTGTAACAGTCAGAGTCAGAAGGAGAGCCACGTGCTTGCTCACTTTTGCACCTTGTTTTATTACTGTGTTCTATTTCTTTCCTTGGCAGATGAATAGGGGAAGAAAACCTGCTTGGCTATAACATATTGACAGGGAAAGTAAATATACAGTGAAAAATGGAAGTGCCTCTAATATAAATGATATGTTGCTT